TATCCTGAAAGTGTTTACATGTTACTAGTTTTTAGTACTCGGGAACACGTTATATATTGCTGACGAAATATTCTGGCCGAGGCATTTGGGGTGTCATATGAGAACTGGGCAATGAGAGCGTGCAATGCGCAGTTCGGTGCGTGGTTTTAAAGGAGATGGTATTGGAATCTGTTGTAGGGTCTGGTGGAAGACGGTGGTTTTTGTATCCTGTGGTGCGTAAGGTATTTAAATATTGTGGTATTTGGTGGAACGTTTTTTACTCGTACGAGGATGGAGCTCGCTTTCGGAACCGTCGGAATGAGTGCTTTTTGCAAAACAGGTGTCTTGGTTGATTATGCATCATCATCATTGTCAACTGTAACAACCACGTACTCGTCGTACAGTGGTTGTATTTGCTGCAGTTTCGTTCACGGATGATTCGGGGGGGGGGGGGGNATTCGGGGGGGGGGGGGAGAGGGAGGGTTAGGTAGCTGCGCATTGCAGACGGAGGCTTGTGCGTAATAGTGAAGACTGCCTTGTTCGGTGATCACCATTCGACTTGTTTAATTTTGTCATCTGCATTGGGTTAGCGGATCGCACTCTTTGAAATTGCGACGCCGTGAAATTTGAACCAAGGATCTGCATAGCGTAATAAAAATAATGGTTAAGGTGTGGCGGAGTTTTGCTGCGTAAATGTTATGAGATCCCAAGAATAGAAGGAGGTTTGGGATAGTATAGAGGAGGAATAATCGAGAAATCAGAGTAGTTTTCGAACCATCGATTTTCTTGTCAGCATCTTCGCGTCATGACCACTGAGCTGTATGGAGCCTGTTTCCAAGCCGATCGTGTTGTTTTCCTTTCCGAAACTGTTATACAGTTTAGCAGTACACATCAGCCGCAACGTACATTGATTTTATGGTTTTCAGGACAATATCTCTCATCTTTAAGTCGAACTTAGTAGACTAGTATGAATATACATTTGACAACATTGCAGGGCTTGCTTTATTACTGTTATCTTCACATCGCATTGGAGACACGAAAAGGATGTACTGGTTTAGCAGTCTCATTTCTGTTTACCGATTCCCACTGGGTTTCATTTACTCGGCATCTTGGATAGATGAACGGGCTCACAAAAGCACACTAGGCTTGAAGCTGTAGCTGTCCATTCGATACAGGCATAGGAATAACGAAAATCAAAGTTTAACATCATTCTACAGGATTTCCTAAGAATGAGGTGAATTAAGAGCAGCTCAGCTAAATGATGAGTGAAACCACTGTCAATCCGTATTAGTTTGGAACTATCCACTGAAACTAGGTCAGGTAGACGTGGGTCAGCCGCTGGATCCTAGATGTGCTGTTACATCTTAATTTTCAGCTGAACGATAAGGTGCTTATGGTCTGTGCAGACGGATGATCTATGCGACGAAAACTAGGCATTTGCATAAGGCGATTTCTGGGTTTAGCGTTTTTCCTTGCATGATGCTCTCGTTGAAGAGGAGTCACTGTATCGCCGAATGCAATAGTTTTTTCCCGTCTGAAACAGTCCAGTGATTTCCTTACCTTTGTCTGCCTATTGAAGCACAACCGATCAAGATGTAAGGCATGTTGTACCATACCTTGGAGGGGAAGATAGTGGGAATAAAGTTTCGCACAGGACATGAAGCTTCTGTTGGACCCTGTACTACAAGATACATGCGAAAAAAGGGTTTGAAGTTTGTGTACAAATCACAGTCTTCCACCTCAAAAAAAACCGCAGGGAAAAACCGAGCAGTAAAAAAATATAAAGCTTGTTGTCTAAGTCGGACATTATCTACTCTAGAAAGCTGGAACTACAAACAAAATAAACAGAAAGTTCAAGTATTTGTACAAGATAATCTATAGGATACATCAAGCGACGCGGAATTCAACTTCACACAGCTCCTTAATTCCGGCTGTAATCACATCACCCGATTTAACAGGCCCAACACCGGCTGGTGTGCCTGTCAGAATCAAATCACCTGGTTCGAGACGCATGTGATGCGAGATGAAGGAAATCAGTTTAGCTGGTGAATGTATCATTCCATCAATCGTGGCACGCTGATGTTCCGTCCCGTTGACTCGAAGCCATAGCTCAACAGTGCTCGCATTCTTCCGGAACTCTTCGTAGTCTGAGACAAACAGTTTTGGAGGTAGCATTGAACAAGGGAGAAGAGGACCAACTGGACAGGACGTATCGAAGCTTTTCGACAGTGTCCACGGAAGCTGACGAGATTTCAGCTGGTTCTGAAGTGCTCGATTGGTCATATCCATAGCTACCACAAATCCGAGTAGACAGTCTCGAAACTGAGGGGAGAAAGAACAGAATTTGGTATGAGGGAAGAAACGCTGGACGCTTCTGGTGGGACTGGCACTGATTAAGGGTTTACTTATCAACGGGGATTAGTCCTAGTACGCACGTTTATCGTAGCACATGTTTGCATGGAATCGGATGTGATAACACGTTTAGGTCACTAACACTGACGGACAATGACTAATTTTCGAAAGATTGCTCGAAGTTTATGGTAGTTTACAGGCCAAAACCTTTTTTAAAGTACACTTAGATGCCAATCATCTTATTTCCTGGGTATTTTGATAAGAGGAGAGCCATCAGGTGGTGCGAAGTAAACTTAAGGCCACTCCGATTCTGATCCTCGTAAGCTGAAGTCAATACGATGGGTGTAGTGGAATTGAGTTGGAACACCACTCTCTTTCTCGAAGATCCACATCAGTTTCCCACTATTTTATCTAGATGTCTTCGGAACTCTATCTCACTGTTGAAAACACCTCCACTGTGCAGCACGATATCCCCTCTTCGGAATCGCCGGCTGCTGAATGGAAGCTAATTCAAGATATTCCGCTGTGGTTGCCCTTTTGACATTTTCATTCCCCATTCAGCCCAACTGTTGACCGTTATCTTTGGTAGAACTACTCACGAATTGTCGCCGAACGACAAGCTAACGAGTTCGTTCCACGAGAACGAATGACACATCACTCTTAACATCATTTAACACGGATCGCATGATGTTGTTTATGATGAGAGTTCGATGTCTTGATCATCGGTTGGGGTGGATCCAGAGGCGGGATCGCACTGCACATTTGGCTGGAGAAAATCACAAACACGAAACTCACTTGAATCGCTCCAAACATGTGAATGAGTGATTTATTTACGATCAGTGACTGTAGGAATAAGCCAGTAGCAGGTGAATTAAGGCGGGTAAGAGGCGTGCTTTTGACTTGCTTGAGCAACGTGTCCAAGACATGCACAGCTTACCGGTACCGTGCCCCAGCCTCGAGCACGCACTACGAACACAGAGCGGAGGATGCACTTCCATCAACTAAAGCATAACTACAAGGTAGCGTTCAGCTCACACATGAAATGGACCGGTGGTCTCGGGGTTGAACAGCTCCCGATCTAAAGCTGCCAACTTGACGTGGTGGTTGGGCTTGAGTGCTGCACTAATCCCGCGGGCTACACTGGCTGGAACTTTGTTCCACAAAGTGCAACCATGCCATGAAGGCCAAAAGGGAGCAGTCAGACGAAGAGCATCAAGACCCCGCATTACGAGTAATCGGGCTACGATGCAGTCTGGGGGTAAAGTCGTACTGTCCTCTGTGATAGGAGTCTGAAGGTAGTAAGGTGTTTCCCCCAGGCGACCAGCATGCCCATATTTATGGAAGCAGCGATGCTGCCTTCCCCCGAGGGAGGAAGAGTTAGAAAAGCTAGGCCCTAAGAATCGTACACTCTGACCAGCCAACGGTTGACTTTGACCACCAGTGCATTATTCAATACGGTCGAAATACTTTTGAAACTAAAGAGTCCGGTGCTGCTCAAAAGACACTCGCTGTGCGTAGCCACATCAGGAATGAGACAGTAATGCCTTAGTCCATGCGTCCTCGGGTTAGGCCAACCCCCTGCAGTCGGGCAGGTCAGACAATTGAGTCATTGGCTCCAGGCAGTCCCCAAAGAAAACCCTACTGCCCGCTGCCTTATGGTTCAGGTTTCTGAGTCAAAGGCTCAAGGTGGGGTACCTTAACCAAACCCCCTTCCTCAACCTGGGCAACCGGGAAGTATCATTGGCACGCACAGTTCTGTGTCCACCGATGTTCCCACCAGCGGGCGTTGCTTAATCATTTGACTGTCAGGTACCTGAATGATGGGACTTTAGGTCTCTGCTGCCCACTAACAATAAAAATAACACCCTGATAAATCTACGAGATCCCTTCTACGTAAGAGCTAACGTCCGAACTATGTCGAATAGGCCAGCAGACAATGCTCGTTGAAACCCTATACTCTACTCACTATGCCCTGTATATCCGAAGCATGCATACAAGAGTCAAGCGTCTCAGAACTCCATGGCTAGACTCGGCCTTTCCAACTTTCTCTTTCCGTGTGTCCGGTGATCCAGAGGCGACGTCTCGTGAATTAGTGGCGTGAGAGTTGCACTCAGCCCCAGAGCTGAACGCGTTTTTGCTGAATTGGATCCCAATGAACAGTCATCTTTGCTCTGTCCGATTATCCAGTTCATTCAAGCTCAGTGCTTCTCAGCATAAGAAGCGGTACCTGTTTGTCGTGTCGGCTTATGCCCCAACGGACTGCAGTTCCGATGCGGAGAAGGATACTTTCTATCGAGAGCTATCCAGGCTCATTCGTCAGGCAAAAAGCACTGACATTGTGATCCTTGCAGGCGATTTGAATGCTCAAGTAGGTCGTCTGAGCTCCTTGGAATCACATTTGGGTGGTCGATTCGGAGTCGATGCTCGCCGCACAGACAACGGAGATCGACTCCTTCAGTTGTGTGCTGATCACGAACTGTTTCTGGCAAGTACGAACTTTCAACATAAACGTTCGCACCGCGTAACCTGGCGGCCGCCAACTACAAATCAACCGTGGACCCAGTTGGACCACGTGGCCATCAGCCACCGGTGGAGAGCCACAATTCACGACTGCCGTTCCATCTGGGGGCACACCACTTAATTCCGAACACGCCATGGTGCGTATGCGCCTGATAGGTCGTCTGTCTTCAGGCCCTCGAAAGTCAGCAAGAAACATACCAATCCACTGTCTTCGAAGAACTGCCATAGCTCGACAGTGTCGACCTGAGCTAGCCCAACAACTCTTAACAGTAAACCAATACTGTGGTGACGAACATGTAAATAAAGCGTGGTGACAGAAAATATGTTAGCGGCGTACCAATACTGGACGAACATGTAAATAAAGCGTGGTGACAGAAAATATGTTAGCGGCGTCCAATGCTGTGAGTCCGACTTCTCCGATTCGACCACAAGACCACTGGATGTCGTCGAAATCGCTATCCATGATCGATGCCAGGAAAGCCATACCAGCAGGCAACTAGTATGACGGTGCACGCAAATCCCTCAAGCGCCAGTGAAGAGCCTAACGAAAGACCTGGAGCTCTGGTGGACATCAAAAGCTCAGGAGATGGAGAAGGCTTTTGCTATGTTGTGTTTCTTGATCTGACAGCCACCTTTGATTCTGTGGACCGTCAGGCATTATGGCAGTATCTTTGAAGCAAGGGTGTCCCCAATAAATTATTGACCCACTTAACGCGCTGTACCTTAACTACTGTGGCCATGTGAAGGTCTACGGGGAGCTCTCTTCTGAGTTCACCACAACAAGTGGTGTCAGACAGGGCTGTCCTCTCCCACCTTTTCTCTTCAACTTCGTCATTGATACGATCATGGGAGACGCATTACCAGCCTTTATTGCATATGGGGTCAAAGTGCAAACATCATCATCATCATCATTGTCAGCTGTAAGAACCGTGTACTGGTCGTACACTGGTTGTAACTGCCACAGTTTCGTTCACCGATGATTGGGGGGGGGGG